CTCCTGGACCCCCTCTTGGCCCCCTCCTGGGCCCCTCCTGGACCCATCCTGGACCCCTCCTGGATCCCTTTCTGGTTACCTTCCTGGACTTTTGAACCCCCCCTCCCTGCGGTGCTATGGTCTCGGTGACACCACGGCGAAGAACAGCGGTGGCGCCTCCAGGGCGAGGAGGCCTCTCTGTAGTGTGAATAATGAGGCCCCTCCGGTCACCATAGTCGCGCTCGCGCCTATGACGGACGCCTTTTCGGATGTCGACGTCCTCCCGCCCGCCCTGCCCGCCCCAGCCCCCTCGAGGGGCACGCGCGCTGCGCAGCTGGGCGCGCAGGACGCGGGGGGGCTCGCCAAGTAATTAGAATCCCAGTGGGATGCGCGCCGCCCGGCCCCGCCGCTCTTTGGGCGGGGGCGGCTGGCGGCCCGGGCTGCCGATATATATGTACAATAACGTTCTCTCTCTCCGTCCCTGTCCCACCCACTGGCGCAGGCGAGGCGCCCGGATGAATGACTTTACACAATTACGGCTCGCGGCGGAGCGCTGCTCGCGCGCACTTTATTAGTTTCGCCGCCGCGAGACTTCCTAGAAAGAGTCGCGGGAGTCGGGATCAGACTGCGCCCATCGCTGCGCGAGCCCACACAAAGTCACAGCCGCGTTGAGTGGCGTCGAGTGTAGCAAGTTGAAATCCCAGCAGTCTGTACCCTGACCCTGAGTTTTGGTTTTTGATGGGCATTATTTTTGGTTGCATGCGGCTAGGTGCTAAGTTATTAGGATAGCTTGATTTAAAATCAATTTCAAATTGAAGATATCCCGTTTATAACCTTTTTAGGCTAGCAGTTTACGAGCTATGCTCACCCTGCACACCAGAAAAATCTCCCAAAAAGTTAACTTTGCCTGCCCTTGTTATCTGTTCAGTTTCGGGAGACTACGATTATTGTTCGCTTGTTGGTGGCACTCTGTCGGCCCCCGGTCCCAACCTTGTTGCGTGTGGCGCTGGCCTCGACAGAGGGGGGGAGAGGGGGAGGGGGTGAGGCTTGCGTGATCCTGGACGCGGGGCCAGGAGCCGGCGTGAGCGACGACGTGGACTCGACTTGAATGGACTCGAACCACGACGTTGAAAGGAATATATCGGAGGCGGCCCGGTCCAGAGTATGGCCCCCGCCCCGCGGGGCAGCTGGACCTTGGCAGGTCTCTGTCTCTCTCTCTCTGTCTCTGTCTCTCTGTCTCTGTCTCTCTGTCTCTTTGTCTCTCTCTCTTTCTCCCTGTCCCCTTTGCTCTCGCCATACGCCACGCAAAGTCATTCCATTCATGGGTGCCCGCTGCTGCACTGACCACTACGTATCTTTGTTTCCGCCGCCGCTCGCCGCTCCCCCTGCCACGCCCATTCATTGTCTCCGTCTCTCTCTCTTTCTCTCTCTCTCTCTCTCCCTCTCTCCCTCTCTCTCTCCCTCTCTCTCTCCCTCTCTCCTTTGAACGGTTCGAGTGGTCAGAGGGCTGCCGCCGCTAGGGTGCCCTCGAGTGCGACAGAGACAAGCGTGGCGGAGGGCCCAACGACGCTCATTCACGTGCTTGCAATGGGCCATCGCCGTACCGCCAACAGTACGGAACTTCCTTATGGGTCCGATCACGTGCTTCTTACCTTTTATTTTACTTGATGTCGGGACCACAGCGTTGGATTGGGCCTCAAGCACGGCGATGACGACCAGCCCCGCGTGAAGCAGAACGTGACGCTGACACACCCAGAAAACCGTTTCTTTGAATTAAAGAAATTTTATTTAATTCAACGAAAATTTCGTGCCAGAAACCAAAGAAATCTTTTTCGTTCATGTGACGAAAAAATTTCTTTCACTCAACGAAAGTTTTGTCAGATTGAACAAATTTTCGTTGAGATAAAGAAATTTTTCTTCAAATCAACGAAAATATCGTCAGTTCGTGATTTCGTTACGGTCTTCTGGGTACAGGCTACGGCAACGATCTGCACGTAGTTTTGAAGTTTGGGCCGGGTTAGGCTCATGCCAGAAGTTTGAAGTTGAAGTGAAGTTACGGCAAATCACCCGCGATGACACAGCTCTATCCCTGTCCAGCAGAACGTCTTGACCCTGTCTGCGCTTCCGGCCGCGACTCTGCCTCCCATGTCCTCTTTCCTCTTCCTTTCCGCCGCGCGCGCCCTGTCCTGTTTCCGCCGCACGTGAAGCCCCTCTTACGACGGAGAACGAGGAAAAAGGCGTACCGGATCGCCGCGGCTCCGCGCTCAAAGGAGAGACAATATTGTCCGAAGGAGGAGGACATCGTCCAGCCTTCGTGTGTATGTGTGTGTGTGTGTGTGTGTGTGTGTGTAGGTCAGGTGACAGACCCGCCCCGCTTCCGGGCAAACTCCGCGTGGTGGCGTGAGTCATGCCTAAGTACGCCGGTCCCGCGCGTTAACGAGCCCCCCACCCCGCTCCAACCCCGCACGCACGAGGGCGCCCGAGGCGGTTTCCCGCGCTCGCGCCGGGGCTCGGACAGCGCGCGCCTGATGCCCTAGCCACGCCCCGCCACGCCCAAGATCCCCACCATCAACGTCGTTCGCGCTGCTTTGCGCGATTTTTATACACTGCGTGCGCAACGCTTTTACACCCTCTTGGGTATTGAATGAAGAATGCATGTATGTATTAGTGACCGATTGTATGACTTATTTGGTCCATATGCCATCGTAATTGACTTTTCGGGTACCCTTACTTCGTTTGAAATCGAAATAAGGGCCTTCATTCAATCAGGTAATCAAACTGTTGGCCGCGAGGGAGTGAGCCTATATCTGCCCGACTTGTACTGTCATTTACTGCAGCGGTAAGTGTCGTAAATCGAACAAGCAACGATCTAGGATGACGAGCGGCTGTTTGCGTGTTTCGACTTCTACTTTATATCTAGTCTGCGCAAACATGTCTTCGATAATTTAGAATCGTTCTGTCTCATACTGGTATTTTTTCGGTTTTCGTTTGAGTGCCTGACATGCTCTTCGTAATTGAACAGCCCTACAAGGACGTAATTAGAAAAGCTGCCCATTCACCAAGTACATTCCATCAAAGTGGAGACTGAAATTATAAATCCGCAGATAAGTCGATATAGCTTTGAATATTTCTTCCGAATTTTATTTTTGTACAGCACCGACAATCGGTTCTCGTGCCGACTCAGTCCTGGTCGCGGGGAGTGGCGGGGAGAGGCAACTGCTGAACACGGGGGACACGGGGGGTCCGCTCTGCCCGGGCTCTGCCCGTAGTGCCATCCTTCCCCCTTCACCTCCCTGTCCCTGGCCCCCCTGGGTCCCCCGGGTCCCCCCCACCTGCCCAGGCGAGGCGGGCCCGGGCGGGCCCCGCTGAGCTTGCTGCCAGCCTCGCCTGGCCGCCTGGATGCTGCGCGATGCTGCGGCGGGCTGAGTCCTGAGTCCTGGCCGTAGCAGCCCGGCCGTGCGGACGGGTGTCGCTCCGAGTGTATCTGTGTGAGCTGCGCCTCACGTGATTCCCCGTGTGTTTTGTGTGTGTTTCTGTGCGTTTTTCCGTGTCGCGGTCATGTTTGTGCGACGCGCGAGTGACGCGTGAGTGACACGGGAGTGTCGAAGAGAGGACGCCGTCCAGGACGTCGTCTGCTGCTTTTGCGTCGCCACGTCGCCGCGCGGGCAGAAGAGTGAGAGCAGCGCAGGACGGACAGGTAGGGATTATTCGCAAGTGTTTTGTGTTGCGTGTTTGTGTTGATTCGTGTTTGCGTAGGGGTGCTTGCTGTGGGGAA